AAGTATCATAACTAATGTCTCTCTTCTTTATCTTCTTTGCAATATTTCATATATTACAAAACATCTTGTGGTCCTACTAGTGTAATTTGTTGATTACAGTTGCTCTTCAAATAGTTCGTTTATTTCTTCCAGTCTTCTGTGAATCTCTGGTCCCGCAGGTTTCAAATCCTTCCTGTCATCTTATCCAATTCTGCATAGTCCATTAATTTTGACTGCCATTCTTCTTGGAATAACAGGTTTGGAATTGCCCAAGAAAGATGTTAAATTATTTTTGTATGCCACAACTGCCGCTCGAATTTTACTAGCTAAAAAGTGGAAAATGCAAGAATTACCAACTGTGGAAGAATGGCAGATGAAGATGATGGATTTTTCGGAGCTAGCCTACCTGACCGGAAGAGTCCGTGACCAGAAGGAGGAGGAGTATCAGGAAGAATGGACAAAATTTAATGATTATTTAGTTAAGTTAAACTAATTAGAAATCGCTTGCAGGTATTAGATTGGCTTAGGATTTCATATAAGTTAAGTGATGAATTAATATATTTAATCTTGAACTGAAAAGATATAAGGATGTTAAATGATTAAGTTAAGTTTATGAGAACTCTGATTTGGAAAACCGTTAAAAGGATATGCATTGAAATTCAACCAAGGGGAAGCGAGGAAGCCACTTAACAATGTTAATACCGTATTTTTCGCTCTATAAGACGCACCAGACCACAAGACGCAACTAGTTTTTGGAGGAGGAAAACAAGAAAAAAAATATTCTGAATCTCAGAAGCCAGAACAGCAAGAGGGATCGCTGCGCAGTGAAAGCAGCAATCCCTCTTGCTGTTCTGGCTTCTGGGATAGCTGCGCAGCCTGCATTCGCTCCATAAGATGCACACACATTTCCCCTTACTTTTTAGGAGGGAAAAAGTGAGTCTTATAGAGTAAAAAATACGGTAAGTGTAATTTTAATAAGGTTATGATTTTTGTTTGTTTGTTTGTTTGTTTATAATTTTGTGAAAATCAATAAAAAAAATTGGGGAGGGGGGAAGAGAACTGGAGACAGTGCTGCCCAAAAGCTCGCTCTTCAAGACCATGGGCAGCTGTGCCTGAGCATGCCCCCGATGAAGCCGGACTCCTGCCTGCATCACCACCAAGATGGGCCGCTCGTTCACGCACCCTCCACCCTTCTCTCTGTGTATCTTGCCAGCAGTGAGGGTGCTGAAGCTCTCCTGGGGGAAGCACAGACTATGGTGGAAGCCCTTCTCAGCCGCAAGTAGGTGCCAGGGCAAACAATGGGGGCATGTGAGAAAGTCTACCCCTTACTTTTGTGCCTTAGACAGGGAGACAGCTCCCACCAACAGCCCCCCCCCAACAACTT